TACATGCGGGCGGTGCGTGGCTGCAGCATCACCTGCTGGACTTGGCTCCTGAAGTTGTACCAGGCCTCGCCGTGGCTGTGGACAAGTCAAGAATAGATCGAGATGATTAGGAATCGGGGAAAAAGTAGAATAAGACAATTGATAATAAAGTAAACTCACACGGCGATGAGGCCGGCCTTGTCGTCGCCAAAGACGTCGCGACGCAGCTGATGCTTGTAGCGGTGCAGCGAGGGCATGTGCGGACGGTGGGGCATTCGCTCCTCCTGGCGGAAGATCCGCTCGATCTCGTCGGCGTCGTACAGGAACACCATGTCCGGCCGATTCAGCAGACCCCCCAGCCGCACCACGTCCCCGTACTCCTCGTGCAGGCGACGCGACACCTTGTCCACCTCGCTGATCTTGTAATCACCTAATTCCAAGCACACCGTGCAAGTCAACAAATTAATTTTTACGTAAATTTCGTTGTATGCTTCGCGTGATAGCGTGATGCATTTTACATAAAATTCTTTCTGGTCGCAAAATGCTATACCAGCTGCGAGCTCTGCACTCATTCAAGTCGCTAATTCATTCGATATGATTTGGTGAAAGTCAAACGCTCGATGACCGGCATAAATAGCGATAACGAACTGGCGTGTCATAATTCAGCATGCAACGATTATGCCTATTTGTTAGGTAATAATTGAGCTAGGCACGGCTGGTTGTTTGTAAGTATTTTGTTAGCAGAATAGGGGGCAGCTTTTTATGCGCTCAGACTCAAGAGGCCAACACGAGTATCTAGCCGACAAAGCGCGGCTTTATTGAATGATGGAAAAACACATTGCATCGCTTCATAAAATCGCAAATTTCGCCTCAGCTTGGGCTTGCATAATTTCACGAGCAGAGTCACGCAGCCCTGAGCAAATAGGCTCATTTCTTTTCTATACGTATACGCGTTAATGCGATTCGCTGATGTGAACTATCGAAAGCGCGGATGACTGAGTGTTTTTCCTCTTGCTTATTCGACAACTATTTCTTCCGATCGTTCACATGAACGAATCTGCAGCTTGCAGAGCATTTCGACGGAACTTGGTCGCACGTGTTCTTTTGCAAGGTTTCTCTTTTATTGCCGCTTTTATTATACTTTTTGGCATATATTTTTTTAAATAAATTTAGAAGAATACCATGTAGCTTTTTTACTTTACCTATGATTGGTATGAACCTCCAGGTGTTGCCGAGAACAGGTATCGGGCATGGTCCTGGCATCTCCGAGTAGGGCTTGATGTCAGTGACCTCGGCTACAGTTTCCACACCTCTTTGCAGGCTCACCGTACTTATTCCACCCGAGTTCTTAGCTTGTCGGGCTGTAAGAAACAAATTAAATGACTACTTATTTATAAGAAAAGGTACAAGTAGCGAAAAAACTTACCCAACTGCCCACTAAAATACTTTAAACTTGCCATCTCACCAAATAATTCATTAGTTCTGATTGTTCAGTGACAGCATCGATTACTTTGATTTTCTGTTTAACTGAACATTTAAATAAAATTCAAAAAATAATAAATTAACATAATTGAACTTTTAACTTTACAGAGTATATGTTAATCAATCATTTATTACAAATTTTATTAGCTTTAAAAATGAATCTTAATACCTATCAGTACTGAAAAAAAATCATCATAATTTTGAGAATATGTATACATATTTTATAAAATGATAATAATAGTAATCTTTGAAAACCTAAAATTTTAATTAATATTCACTTGTATGAATGATATCTGATAGTTTTGAATTTATGAATATACTAATAAATAATAAATAATAAAGAACTGTATATAATAATAAATGTAATAAATACCTTGATTCAAAGATTCAAAAAAATCTAAGTCTGATTTGTTGAAAATTCACCATAAGCGGTGCTACGAGACGTCCAATTTAGCCGTTATCGCTGCTGTTGTGCTCATGTCAAACTACACACAGGATCTTTCGTGAAACGCGTTTACACTTTAATACTTAAGCATGCGCTCAACAATATAGTGGGAGAAAAATTCTCATATGTTGTGAAATAGGTAGGAGTGAATAAGTTTATATGTGTTAGCATATTCGAAAATGAATTAAATTTTTTTGTCCAATTTTGCTCTCTTCAAATTAATAAATGCTATGGTGTAGTGACAATACCCAACTTGCTGCAAGAGTTGGCAAGCTATGTTTTTGCTACTGCCATAGCCGTCGTTAATTTTTTTCAGTTCTGAGCTTTTTCTATTTAACATGACGTTCATAGCTTTAAATTCAAAAACATTATTTTAACACTTATAGAGGGCTTGAAGTCGGAAACAAACGTAATTCGAACATTTTGAAGGATATTTCTCTAATGCTTTTTTCAAATTTCTTAAATTTTTACTGCTAACTAATATGCAATGATACAACAAGTGTTCAAATGGCTATTTTGTGCACAATGAGTACGAGTCATAAAATAGTTGTTTAAAATCGCCAGCCGTGAGGGAAAATCTTAAAATCGACTTCCTGCACTTGATGATGAAAAAACCGCTGCCAATTTATTGGCAAAGAGCTTCCTCATAAAAAATAATATTAATAAAAGACATCGGTTATTAACGTGAAAATTCGCCCCCTTTGCGTAATCTACCATTATACAACGAGTACTCAAAAGGTGGGTTTGCGCACGGTGTGCGCAAAAAGTTAGGCCCGTGTTGCATACAAACTTTTACGCAATAGAGAGCAAAAGCGAATTATTAGAGCATATAATATATATATAGGTCAGATTCAGAATTTTTCAAATAAACCTGCGGGCGAGATTCACGGATTTTCCAGAAATTTTAGTATGTTATAGTACATTATAAAAGGGTCCTCAAACCAAAATTTTAGACCCCCTCCCCCCTCCTGCCCGCCACCCCCATTATAAACGTCTATTTTCTATTTATATTTATTCTGAAGCCTGAAGTTATTAAAAAATCTGAAAAAATTCATAAAGGTACTTTTCAACAATTCAAACAATCTTGAATCTTTTCAGATTTTTCAGTGCTTCAGGCTTTCAGAAAAAAATCATTGAAAATTTAAATTATTTTATTTTTTGGTGAAATGGTTCGATATTGGGCGTCGAAGTCTAACAATTTTGCTCGAAAAATAATTCGATATCCGGATTCCTCGTCGAATTTCACATGAATTTGAGTTGTCACATTCCACCCACGGATAATTAATACGACGAGAATGCGTTTAATTGAGATTATTTGTATCAAACGCGTGTTAATCTCCGGGGGTACGCCGCCATATTGGTGTAGGTATTACTATATCTATATATATAAAGTTCGACGCCCAATACCGGACCGGAGTATTTTTTTTCTTAATTCTGACACCAAAAAACGATTCCTTGAATTTTTTTAAAATCTTTCATTCATGCAGCTGAAGCCTTGAGAAATCTGAGAAATTCGTTATTTCGCCACCCCTTAAATATTCTTAGACGGGGTTGTAAGCGTTTACGCGCGTCGCCGCTCGACTCGTGTACTTCTTTCAGTCCAAGAAACATTTCCCAACATAAAAAACGACGAAATATTCCCGAGATCAGTTCGAAAAAACTTGAAATCTGAGAAATTCGTTATTTCGTCACCCCTATTTAAGGTAATGCCGAAGCCCCAATTTTGAACGATCGAGCATTAAAAATGTAAATTGAAATAACTTTTTTACTAGACCGATTTTCGAGAAACGGCTCTGTGGAGCCCTCCGTATTGTAGCTGTGAATAACTACACCAAATTTCAGCCAATTTCATCGGGTTGTAGTTTTAAACTAAGTTGCGAAAAAGAAAATATTAGGAAATATTTCAAAAATCATAAGCCTTTTTAACTGAAAAAATGTTTCACTACAGATTTTAGAGTTTCAATAAACAAAACCGCTGCCGATTTAGTGGCAAAGAGCTTCCTCAAAGAAAAATGCTATTGCATCCTCATAGAGGAAGCTAAGTAGTAGGCTCAAAAATGAGATTTTAAACCAGATATTGTAGGAAAATTTGGTTAGAAACAACATTGAATTGCCAGATTATGCAGATGATCCTCGACATTGTGTAGCCTAATTGTTGAAACTGGTCCTAATTATATGTAAAATGACATTGAATCAATCAAAATTTTATTCGTAATAACTGGATTTGTTAAAATTGGTTTTCTCTGTATTTTTCTACATTTCTTTATGGTTTACCTTAGCCAACAATAGTTTGAAAAATTTTTTTGTCAAAATAAAAAAAAGAGTCACATTGATGATAGTTTATACCAGTACATGGAATAATAAAAAATATCTGCTCTAAAAATAGTATAAAATTTTCTTAATATTTTATTTGAAAAATTACAAGTTTTCATTATCTTGACCTCTCAAAAAAGGTTGTTCTCACAATATTTAAAATCTATCTGATGCTGCTATTTTTGTAACTTTAAGACGTGCAAAAAAAACTTAATCGTTTGATCTAGAATATACCTGTACGGCAAGCATAAGTCATTTATATATAATTTATACACGTCTTCATAACTGAATCACAATTAATTAAATTTTTTCCATGTTTACAAATATTTTTCATATTTTATGCAGAAGTTTTTCAATCGTGTGAAATGTACTTTGTTTCTTATTTCTACATCATACATTGAATAAAAAAATTGTCTAATATTTTTTACAGTTTTGACTACATTATCAACATAGTTCAGCTAATATCACAATTGACGCAAGTGCGAAAAATCAAAATAAAAAATCGGTTTAATGGTGATTTTTTTATGCCAATCCAGATTTACCTACACGAAAAAAATCAACTATACGAGTATTGAACAGAAACCTTGACTGACATCTACTATTTTTCATTATAGAAACTCTCTAACAATTTTTGAATCAGGCAAGCATGAATTTAAAATTATTCTTTTTTGTGAATTTAAGAACTATTTTTCACTATGGATGTTCAATGAATAATAGAACGGCAGTCACGTGAGTTTGACTTAGCGATTTAAAAGATGATTTAGAATCATTAGAAGGTGGATGCTGTGTTGTAAAAAAATAAATTTATTATCATCATACTTATTTTAAAAATTCAGCAAAAAAAATTCACTTGTCTCTGTACAATAAATGTTAAGGTAAAAATTCTTTCAATAATTGTCATAATCGTTGTTGTAAAAAAATGGCAGGCTCTTTTTTTGTTAGACGCAATCTTCTTGTGACATGAGCAGTGGATTTACATATTCGAAACCTTCGAATTCCGATTGGTCGATCTTCGTGATTTCGTCGCTTAAAATAAGAAAGAAAAATAAAGAAGAAAATAAATCAGTTAGATTGCAATTGCCAAAATACATCGATCGAGAAGGGAAAAATCGATGTTCTTACCTATCATCAGGGGTTAAGAGGACTGGCTCCTCGGTAAATTCCGGCGGGAAATTGGCTAAATCTCGATCGGATTCGAATCTTGGCCTATAGGGCGGCGTTATCAGTTTTTGTTCGAGCTGCAACAATAAAGAGAAGACAAAATGAAAAGGATGCATGGATGTTAGTTAGACAATAGAAGCTAGAAGAGAGAAGATTGACTGACTTGCTCCCAGTCGATCGGTTTGAAGAAGGGGTGAGTCATTAGTTCTGTGAACGAGTTGACGCCGCTTCCGCAGCCCAAACGCTCCTTGGGGTCCTTGTTGAGGAATCCCTTGAGTGCACTGGCGGCTTTGACGGACAGGGACCTCGGTATACGTATAGTTTTTTCCAGGATTATCTGGAAGAGATAGTCCTCGGTGTTCTGATCAGGGTTCTCGGAAGCGCCGGCTATGTCGAAGGGACTCCTGCCCGCGAGCATCTCGTAGAGCAAGACCCCGAGGGCCCACCAGTCGACGGAGAAGCTGTAGTTTTCGCCGCGCAAAATTTCCGGCGCTATGTAGTTGGGGGTGCCGCAGAAGGTGGCGGTAGTCTCGAACTCGTGTATGTTCTCCTTGCACATGCCGTAATCGGTGAGCTTGATGTGGCCGTCCTGGTCGAGCAGCACATTGTCGAGCTTGAGGTCGCGGTATATGATGCCCTTGCTGTGGAGAAAGTTGAGCGCCAGACTGATCTCGGCCGCGTAGAACCGGGCGTGCTCCTCGGGCAGGCGTCTCTTTCGCTGCATGTGGAACATGAGGTCGCCGCCGCGAACCAGCTCGATGACGAAGAAGAGCCTCGAGGCCGTCTGGAAGCACGAGTGGAGCCCCACGAGGAACGGATGATTCGAGGCTATCTCGAAGACGTGCTTCTCCGTCTGGACCCAGTCGATGTCCTCGTCCTCGGTGACCAGGGCCTTTTTGATGACTTTCATGGCGTAGATGCACTTGGTCGACTTGAGCTCGACCATGAGCACCTTGGCGTAGGAGCCTCGGCCGATGACCTTGACCAACTCGAAGTCCTTGAGGCTGAGCTGCTGGCCGCTCGTCGCCCCGAGATCCTCGCTGTCCTCGGGTCTGTTGACGAGCTCCTCGTGCGGTCCGTCGGTGATTTTCGTCGTCGTTTCCGCCGTCGCTCCGGTTCTCAAGTACTGCGGCTGTAGCGAGTGAGCCGCGACCTCGGTCGAGTCGCTGTCGTTGCGCATGTGTCGGGCGGACGTCGTCGAACGCGGCGACGAGTCCTGATTGCCCGACGACGTGGCCGCGTTGTACGCGCCTATCGGCTGCTGATTCGAGCAGCCGATTTTGATGGTTTTATGGCATTTTTTGTGCACCAGCAGCTTGCACTGGGTGCATTTGAAGCCCTGGCGACCCAAGCCCCAGACTCGGTCGTGACAAAAGGCGCAAAAGGCTCGCTGCAATCAAACACCCCGCATCGTATTTTGTTCAATATGTAGGGAGTTGCAACAATAATCTTTACTACCTTGTTGAATCGTTTCGCTTGGAATACGTGACCGTTCACATGATACAGTTTTCGCCATCTTCGAGCCCCGCGTCTGTAGATGCTTCCTTAATCGTTATGAAAGTAACAAATGTATAAAATCGTGAAAAATATTAAACACCAAGAGAGACAATTGAGGATTTCTTACGATCTTCTCCTTGACATGGAAGTCCCGGGGCCATCGGTACATTAGGAAATACTGCTCGAGAGATGCAGAGAAGAAAACCATTAATAAAATTGGGTGCGAAAGAAAACGATTAATTGCAGCAGATTCAAATACGAACCATGAACGATGATTTCGTTGCTTTTTTCGATCTCGTAGAGTCTTATCGCCTCGTCGAGCTCTTTTTGCGAGGCTATGCGGCAGGGATCGCCCTCGTCGTCGATCCATTTGACCGTGAACTGCTGGTGGTGATTGGTATCGTCCGGAGCCGCTTGAAATCCGCAAACGCTCCTCACCTCGTCCTTTAATTTTTCGAATTCAATGTCCGAACTGATGTAAATAATTTGCACTTCCCTGTACATGAAAAAAAAAAAGAAAATTGACATTTGTATCGATTGACGTTCGTCCAATGGTGCAAACTCGTCGTGCGACACTCACCCATTGAAGATGATTTTTACCCTAATGTCAGCATCCACGTGCACCGTCATTTTTGGTTATTGGCAATATTTGGCACTGCTTTAATATTTTTAGGTAATCTAAATCGAAGAGAAAAATATCATCATTGGCGGTTTTATCGTTGCTATCTAGGCGATAGCATTGCTTTGATGGCTCGAAAGGAAATTCTTAACGATCGAAGAATAAAAACCTAATGGCTTTGTCGAGTTTCAACATTTTATAATATACCGGTTCATCGTTAAAGCGTCGATATCTTGCAAAGTATATACTGGTCGGAGCGATAAAGAACGAGCGTAATTCACGGCAGCGACCGTGCACTGTCAAGCCAACACGAGACGGACTGTGGTCGTTACGGCTGATACGTTCGCGTTAACGACATTTGACTCACCGACAACCGAGTGCCTGCAAATGGTCTCGAAACTATCACGGCGATTCGATTCTCAATGTGTATATACACCTTCCTCGCGCAGCAGTCAGATAAATACTGGCTGTGTGTATATACATATTTTTAAAGCCACGGAGAGGAGCGCGAGAGGCGATCGGCGCCTCGAGCGCGAGTCATTTGAAAGAATTTGAATTGGAGGGGATTTCTTTGTGTTCCCATATTGCATGCACGCACGACCGATGAGAATGGGAGTTTTATATTATCGCGCGTGGCCGGTTTACACAAGACAGAAAGAGAGAGACGGAGAGAGAGAGCAGCACTCGAGCACACGCACGATGAGCATCTGTCTGACTCGATCGTAATCCGTAGCAGTAAGCGTTCAATTTTATACACGAAACATTTCAACTAAAAATAATTAAATAGTCATCTCCAGTGCGAGGTAAATTGATTGGCATTTTTTTAAGGTATTGAGACGCCTTACTGTCATACGTCGTGAGATCGCGTTCTATAATTCGACAAATTTTGCACGCATCGAAATTATTTGTTGCAAGACAACATCGAGTCGTAAGAATTTAACTCGAGTACTCACCTAGATAGATAAGACGGAATAGACAGCTCTCACTTCATGTTAACATCGACGTTCTTCTTCCAATAAATAAAAAAAAGAAAAAAAGTACACACTCGATTATTATTTGAAGCCGGTGTCTGGATGTTTGAATTCGTCAAAAATATTTTCCTCGCACTCCGAGAGTAAGTGTATATGGAATTCCGTTATGAAAGAAAGAGAGAGAAAGAGAGATCAAGTGAGCGCTCTGTCGGTATACGTATGTATATATAGATATATTCTAACCGGACGCTATATGACTCGAGGAATTCAATTAAATTATTTTAACACGAATTCTGCACATTTGTACGGGATCGACATAGCATTGGCTCGTGGGTCAGAAAAAAACACACACACGCTCACTCACAAATTCACGTTTGGTACGTCACCGAGTTCTTTTTTCTCCGTGTGCAAGGCTCCAACTTGTTATGTGCGAACGAGATACTCTGCTAAAGATGCCAGCATCCTTATAGCGTCGATGTTTTCACTCGCACGACACAACTCGCACTACTGCTCCTACTCCACCTGCCCGTGGCTCTGCCGAGCGCGCCTCTACCTATACGTATATTGTATACACCTTGTATATCTGCTCCCGCTGCCCGAGCTACGAGAAACTCTATTATGTATACTTTCTCTTTTCTACGCGACCAACACTGAATCTCCGGCACTCGCTTCACGAGTTCAGAGACGAAAGGTGAACTGACCCAAAGACATCGACGGAAACAACGATTACTCGAAACTTTTGTGCAAATTTTCATATTTTCAGTACAGATTTTAACCTTATATAGTTTAATCGTCGCTCAACCATCGATCTTTACTTTTAAATTTGTTATTCCTATTATTCGTCGATGGGGACTTTTTCATCATTGCAAATTAATTAAACCGTTTGTGACAAGTATTGACGGCAATAGGAGAAAATTAAATTTAAAATGCATTTTCGAATTTAGATACAGAAGTTTAAAAAATTAAAAGAGCATAAGTTAGTTTTGCAATCTTAATATTTACTTACAGTTTGGTGCCTGACAAACAATCAAATAAGTGTCAAACGATTTTCAGAAATTGACATAATGGATATAATAGATTTTTTTATGAGAGATGCGAACTGCACAAAATTAAATCTAACAAGGAGACCACCCCAGCTCCGGGTCATGGATTTGCTCCAAAATTTTTTTGCGGTCTCCTGGTACCCAATACTGAAGCTCCCTGTGCTTAGTTTGATCTCATGGACCTCTTAGGGCCCATTTTTTAGAGGATTTTCTACATTATAAAAAAATCGTATTTCTATATCGATATAGAAGTACTTAAACGAAAAAATGCAACGATCGAAAGTTTCAACATTTTTCAAAGAATCTGCTTGAATTTTTTCTGAATTTTTGAGACTATCTATCACTTCATTCAAGAGGCCCAAATTTGACGCTTTTTTAATAGATTTTTGGACTTCTTAAAGAGAGTGGTAGAAAAATTTTGAAACTTTTGATCGTTGCATTTTTCCGTTTAAGAACTTCTATATCGATATAGAAAATAACAAAGAATTTTTTAATGTGGAAAATTCTCTTAAAAATGGGCCCTAAGGCTCATGAGATCAAACTAAGCGCAGGGAGCTTCAGTATTGGGTACCAGGAGACCCCAAAAAATTTTGGAGAAAAACCATGACCCTGAGGTGGAGTGGTCTCCTTGTAAGTATCACATTTGAAAATGCGCGCGAAACGCGCTTATATGCGTAACTAGTAATAAAAATGTCGAAAATTTGTCCAAAATTGCTATCCTTTCCCTCGCCCCTTTCTCATTAAACCATATATTGTAGATTACGTCTGAATAGATTTCGGTTGCATTTATCTATTTCTTAAATGACAACAGATTTAAAATGGTTCAAGAGAAATGTTGGACAACACAGGTGGTTGGACACTCACTACTATTTATTGAATTTATAAAATCCTAATCAATAGTTATCTTAACGAATTTTGTGTAGGAACTATAACATATTTTGCATTAAAGTTTTCTAAAGTGGTAAAAACGTACTTCTGTTGTCAGTGGATAAAAATATAGCTGCCAGCTTTTATGTTGAACATGTTGCGGTGCATTAGGAGCCTTAAAATTTAGGAAATTATTGGGTGTCATACTGCAAATGACATAACAATTGGAGTAAAATTTTGAGTAACTCTATATTGTATGTAAGTCAATTAGTAATACTTATTTAACAATTCAGTTACCAAAAATTTATAACTCTAGATTTTTTTTGAGAGGTACCTACTATAAAAATTATAATTTTGTAAAACTATATTTTAAGTTTATGGTGATCATTAAAGTGAATTAAATTGATTGTGGAGGATTATTTCCAACTATTTTTCAGATTTCAAACAACATAAATTACACATTTATTATTACAACGTATCTCTGAGTAGACATTAGAAATACAAAGATGATCTCTTCTTCTAATGCGGACGAAAAAATACTGTTTCTCGAAGTGCAGTGAAGAAAATATTTTTCTTTTGTAAATGCAGCAAAAACATTACACTATTAATTTATAAGAACAGAGAAATTGTGAAAAAATGTATTGAAAGGGGATAAAAAAGCATGACAAAAGTATCGAAATCTTTGGAAATATCGCAAAATGAGTCTGAGTGAGAGTTTGAAAAAAGTCAAAACCCCATATCCAACGTATTTTTCGACGAGGGATTAAATGATGACCTGGGATTTGAACTTAAATATACCTTTAATGCTACTATTTTCTTATTTTATGTTTTCTGGCATTTAATATTTTTTGAAAATGGGTCTTACTTCCAATATTTAAAACAAACAGTTTCAACTACAAGGGCTTGAGTTCACTTCGTTGCAATATCCATATTTGCAGATGCTTCTATAATTTTCGAGCGCATTTCTAAAGAAATTTATATAAATTTTGAATCGGAAATTGAGTACGTGAAAGAACATCAACAGGAAATTAAAAAAAATGTCACGATCCTCAAATTTGAAATTAGGTAAAAATAAATAAAAAATGTTGTAACATTTACGTGAAATTTAGGAAAGCTTTTTATGATTTTGACATAGCGATCTGGTTCAAGAACATTCCTTCAAATGTACTATATGATTTTAATAGTTTTGTTAAAGGCGGCTAATTTATATTTTATTTATAGCTTTATGGCCAATATAAAAAATAATCTTATTTTTCGTAAGTACATATAGGAAAGAGTATTTTGAAATTTTTTAAGCAAAATTTCTCATTGATAAGCCTTTGATGGAAAATCTATGGATGTCAAAAATTATGGTAAGTCCTATAATTTTAAAAATTATATTAGTCTATTAGTTTCTTTTACTGACGTTGAGTTTTTTTATTTATACCGATTTTGTTAATAATGTAGCAATAATCCCTAAAATGAGTCACGATTGATAAAAATCAAACTTTTTTTTTGCAAAATTATAATAAGCAAAAAAATGTTTAAAAAAAATTATAATACCTTAATGTCAGTACTCAGTACCTGTGCAAAAGATTAAATACAACAATAAAAAAAATTCCGAAATATGTCGAAAGTATTATACTTCTCCTATAAATTAAATTCAGCATTTTTTATCCAAAAATATTAGAACATTATCAGTGTTAGGACTGCTTCTGGCAGTCTCCTGGGGTGGATTTGAAATGGATGGTCGTTAAGTTGCGACCCATGTTCTGGAAATTTCGTCGAATTGCAACACGTTTGATTGTTTGGAACTAAAAAAATTAAAATTAACGAATGAAATTTCTGAAACTATCAACAAAGGCGTGCGAAATTTTATCCTAGTAATCGTGTCTTTAACAGATTCGCGATCAAGTGGAATGTCAACGCCTATAAAAATCCAATTATTTTTAAGTAAATATATATCGAAGTAAAATAGCTTATGATCGAATCGAATTATTATTGCTGTCGTGATATAATCCACAAGAAACACTGCGATTACGTCCCGGCCACAATAAAAGCCAATGGCAGCCATTTGGGTTCACAAATATATATATCGGCAAAGTAGTATTATTTTTATTTTTCATAAGATGAAAGATTTTTAACAACAAGATTGATAGGTAAAATCTCGAACGAACCTGCGGGTTGGTTAAAGAGAAACCTCGTTACGGCCGAAATGTCTAGCATATTTGGCCAGTGTTTAAGGTCACCCGCGTTTTTAGCTTCCACCAAAGGGGAATACCGTTCTTCTTCTTCATCTTCCATTATTCCATTCGTTCTGATTTCATCGTTTTTTATAGAACGATTTACCGAAGCTTTTGCCTATGTGAATAGTTTTTGAAAGGCCTCCAGTCCCTCTCTGAGAGTGCGAAGTAGTGCAAGCCCTTGCTTGGATGCAGAAGGTGCCGCTGCATCAACGACAGCCTGCTATGGATTTCCTTGCTTTCTGGATATGTCGATGAAAGGAACATTATTGTTGGAGCCGATCAACTCATGGGCTTGAATTGGAGCTGGTAGTGATGGTTGCGGTGGTCCAGGCGCTGGTAGTGGCGGCGGGACGGTCGTTAATATTTTTGTTAAATCTGTTTTTTTTCCACAAAGATTTCTTTTGGTTTTATATACGAAGCTGTATATCAATGAGAAATCAAAATATTGGAGTTTTAAAAAGTGCAATAGGTTTTTAGTTGTAGAACCAGAAGCAGATGTGAGGAGGCAAGGTTACGCAACAGACGTCTGCCAGTATGGTGATGGATTTCATCCTCTTTCCGCTGGTGATAAACGGACCCCGGTCTTATAATCGGCAAGCGCAGCGTAATGTTTCTTCCTTTTAAGACGCAGGCTGGTATGCTCTAGGACTCTTTCTTGAAAGTAGGTAGTTATAATCCTCAACGGGTAAGCAGGTGTTTACATTCGGCCTATTGCAGTAAGGATGTTGTTCCCCATGCCGTATAGAAGGCATTATTGACGTCTAGAGTGACTATGGATCAAAGCTCGCGGTCGATCAACAACGGGGAGTGATAATAATTCGATGACATTGATCGTTGATTTTTCTCTCCCGAAACCGTACTATTGGTCCGAGAAACCATCAGTGACCTCCGTATAGACCTCCAGGTGATCGCAGATTATTTCTGTGGTGGAAAGGCCTAACGAGATAACTCCATTTTTCGTGTTTTCGAGAAAAACGCGTTTTAAGTTGCGTACGAAGGCCTAGCTAGACGCGAACGACTAAAGATCTGTTCCTATGACATTTTTACCTATAATGAGGTATCTTTTGAACTATGTACTTGTGAAATTGAAAGACGCATCATAGTGATGATACGGAGCAAAAAATATGGACTTATCTCGTTAGCCCTTTCCCCGCTTAGCAGATAAGTCCACTTTTAGCGGTCACACTTTTTTCAATATCGATAATTTTGCTTAGTTTATGATCAAAACCTCATTTAATGATTTTACATTGATAAAATAGCTCATTTAACGTAATACTGGTGTCAGATCTCAAATCTTGCAACGAAAAAAGGCCACACTGAAAATCGCGAAAATGGCCCCTCGCGTATCAAATGTACCAATCGTATAGTGAAATTCACAACATTCGAAGAGTGTGAGAGCCATTTGTATGTTGAAATATAATTTTCTTCCATTTTCAAATCAATCTAGACTCTTTATCGCATTTTGGAGCTCGCAAAGGTGGACTTATCTCGTTTGTGTTATATTGAACGATAGGTGCTCTTTTCAGCTTTTGTGACACTTGTACCTTAAAGTAGACATAACATATAGGTAATTCATGTCATAAACTCGATTTCGAAAAAAATGGAGTTATCTCGTTAGTCCTTTCCACCACAGAATTTATTCTGTTGAGAATCCTGCCAACAGCGTACAGCATGTACATTGTACAGTGGCCAGTAAGATGATGGTTCTTCGGAGGGTTTGTTGTTGTTAGTAAAACGAACTTCTATCGCTTCTAGCTCGTCTTGAAGGTCCTGTTTTACAGGTGTGTTTATGTGTACATCGGATAGGACTACTTTTTTAGGATTTTCGGGTCTCCTGGTACTTAATAATAAAGCCCCCTATATTTAGTAGGAGGCTTTACTATTAGGTACTGGAAGACCACAAAAAAAATTTCAGGTCATTTGGTGACCTGCACCTCATGTGGTCTCCTTGTAAGTACAATAATCTTGACAAGATGTTTAAATTTGTTTCGTTTTAATAACACTCTAGGCTTAGTACATAAAAAAAAAACAATCATATTTTTAGAATGGAGCTCTTTGCCAATGAATCAACATCGGTATTGTTCTATTGATAAATGTGTTATTTTATTGATTATAGACCTGAAAATTATAATTTACTAAATAAAACCTTTATATAACCAGTAAATAAAATGCTTTTTTTAATTGATTAATCAAAAGAACGAGTTAAGGCATGATATAAACTCGAACAATGGTTTTTCATAACAAATAAATTTTTATTTCATCATTCCAGGTACAAATCGTGAATAGGCTTATTTTTCTTATACGTTGGAATACGAGTTATGCAAAATGAGGAAAAGTCCAGAAAAAGCATAATTGCTCATATTTCTTACTGTTTTAATAATGCAACTGCTTCTTCTCTTGAAATACGCTAGCTCAGAGTTTTATTCTTACTCCCAAGACACGATTCTAACAATGGTAAAATTCTATAAAAACCTTTTATTGTGTATTTTCTTATTGTATAATATCAATATAAGTTTCGCATTTTATAACAAGGATTATTCTTTATTTTTTCATTCAGTATTTATTCTTTATTATTAATTATTTTCTTCACTCCGGATGATGTAGCGCATATAATTGTTACTCTACAGAATCATTTTGCCTCATAATACTTTCACTTATTTTTAAGTTTTGTTTATACGTATGGATTTTTATGAGATATATCTAAACTTTCAGACAATAAAACTAGCAATCAATCTCAAAGAAGAATTTTCAAAAAATGTACAAGGTAATGCACTTTACAATAAGAAATTGCATTAAAATAATTTCTTTAAATTAAAACTAATACTTATTTCATTCTTTACCTCTGCTATAAATTGAATTCCCTATTATTTATTAATCTAAAGTTGTTCCAGTGAATATTTTCGGATTCTTTTATTGTATAGAATTCATAACCTTTTGTTGTATAAATTTGTGAAATAATATTCAATGGATCTTAAAAATTGTTTATTACACAATAGAATCAAATATTATCGATTATACCCCACAATGCAAAATTACCAATTACTACGCGAGGCTTGTACTGACTTGGTAACCATTGAAAAATGTTATCAAGTCACTCGATAATTCGATGCTTTTGTCGTTGAATTTATGTAATTAATGGTAAGCTCTTTATTTATTTCATTTTATCATTAATCATTATGATATATTTGTAATATATATTATATTACACTTATTTTACCTTATCAAATATTCAACTATAGCTGGCAATTATTAAGTTAGGCTTTTGATGAATCAATTGTTTTTTTATAGATTTATCAATTCACTTATGTAAAATTTCAATTTTTTTATCTGTAATTATTAAGTCAATTTTTTGCAAAAAAAAAACATTCAACTACTTGAGGATGTACCAAACGTTTTTGTTGATCTGCTCATTAATTCGCATTAAATATTGTTAATCTGTTAAAAATTCTGTTGTAATATATGACATAATAAGCTGAATACCCCATTCATTTAGAAAAAAGCTCTACGGTATTGTTGATTCCATGTCCATGTCGGACCCGTAAAAAATGATAAAAAAGTACTGCAAAATCGATGAATTGTGTAAATCATCAATTAGTTTAAAAAAACACAAATAAGGTGCATTAAAAAAATAATGTTAACAAGATTTTGATTTTTTTGATACTTCGATAATTATACTATTAAACATTTCGGAGGAAACAAGATTACAGGCATATTTTCGCGTTTATGGCGATAATAATAATTTATAAATAATAATAATAATGATGATAATAATATTAATAATAATAATAATAATAATAATAATAATAATAATAATAATAATAAAAAATTAATAATGACGATGATACTCGTACAGATGATGCGGATGATACGATAATAGTAATACAATTATGATTAATAATAATGTGATAATATTAATGATAATAATAATATCCAACATACTTCGAAAGCTTCTACGAGAGCAAACGCTAGTGTTAATAATAATACAAGCGTACATACATTATTTTAAATATTGTTTTCATTAACATTTTCGTCATTATCTTTCGTTGAGTTAGAATTCTTTTGTTTTTTCATTATTGGACTACTTTTTTACAAAAATAATTCTAACAATGTTGTAAAATACAACATAGTACTGAATTGATGTCACACTTTCTCATCTCATTCTTTCTAATTATACAAACTGGATTTTTTCTTTCGAAAAATAAAATCGAATAGTTTGACAGTTACCCGATTTAATTTTTTTGGATCGCTGAAGTTGAAGTTTTCTTTGGTACACGGTATACAAACACAATTTTTTTACAATACAACCAACAGCTCAACATGAGCAATAATACAGAGACAAAAAGTAACGAAGTCTAATGTCATTAGAAAACAGCTGGTACCAACCTACAACTGTCTTGTCAATTAAGAAATCATATTTTTCGATTAAAGAAAAAAGTCAACTGTTTTTTCTTTATTTTACAGTGAGAGATAGATCACATGTAATTTTGTAAGAAAACACAAAGTTGCACAACATTTTTTTTCTTCATTTCTTAAGATTCTTGCATAAGATAATATTGATTACACTTTTGATATGGTTATTGTATTTGACATTACTATTTTTTTCGTGGTTAAAATTTGCTTTCTTCCTTACTCACTGTATAATACTAGACTTTATGACAAAATGTTTAATTGCCGTCGGATAATAATATTAAAAATCCACTACTGTTTTTTTACACAATCAGTTGGTCAGCTATTATCGCCTAAATATTATCAATATGATTCTCGGTTTCGTTTCAGTTTTTCAAGTTTTAAATTGAGTTTTTGTCAAACTCTCACGAATGAGATGGAAAGCATTATTAATTTAGACAAAATGAAGGCCGCCACTTTGTTTTTTATACATTTTTGTGTACATGAATGTTTTCTTCAGACCAAGCTCAATTTTTAGATTTTGTATTCATTACAAGTATGTTCATTTAAATTCGACTTTTTAAATTATATGTTTATTTATGTAAAAAATGAATCAAGTAGAAAGTTTATTCAATAGGACTGAAAAGAATTATATCGCATGCACAATGGCGGTGCTTTCATAATGTATTAGTATATACGTATATGTGATAAAGACAAAGTTTTCAGTGACATTAGGAAATAACTTTTCTCAACAATATGATTGCTTTGTAGTCCCTTTTTTCGCTTTATACAATAGTCACTTGGGTTATTGAACCGCTACGGATCAGTTTATATTCATTTTATTTGATCAACCATCTTCTTTCCTATTTCTTTTCAATAAATTCCATTTTTTTCTAAATCCGTTATTACATATTTATAATTCTTTTATTTACTTCAATTATTGTATATCTAAATATGTGTATGTTTATCAATTCATATATACATACCCGTATATAAATATACACATTTATAATAGGCTAAATCTTAAAGTTTGATCGCTCAATAGTTTTTACATTTATATCTAAAGATTATTAACTTACTATGTACAAAGTTTTCATTTATTTTGGAAAAAGATATCTAAGAGGCCTGCCCCTCTCGCCGACTGCAGCATCATATTTTTACGATTCCATTTTCATTATTATTGATAATTATGCTTAAGGTCTCAAACGCACCCATGCACAAGTATTACTTGATTGTTTCAAGTCAAAGATAAATATTTCAAGTTATAATATTTGTAATTATAGTTATGTATTAGTGCACAAAACGGTGCCAATAATATTCGACTCGGACAGATCAAATAGTTCATTTTGACCCATATAATGTTTCAAAAATCACCTACTCACTTGGGGCTATACATAAAGTTTAACATAATTATGCATAATATCATGTTTTGTTCGCACAATCGAGTAGAGTAATAATCATAATAAAACTAGTAATAGTAATATTTCATTACACGATAATTACACGAATTTCCATATGTTTTATGCGTACTTGTATGTAAATACACACATACAGTAATGAATTATCGTCTAGAAAAATTATCTTCTACTTTACTTGTTTCAATCTGCTTGTATGCGTGAAAGACTAGGCCCCCGGTCTTTCCGATAAAAATATAAAATTCTACCGCATGCTGCGACAGCTTAATCATCAGTATATATTTATATATATTCAATGTTTAATATTTATACATATATAACATATATACTATTACAGCTCAAGTACAACAAATAGTTTGATGTGATGTTGCGTTTGGATTGTGATGTTTGAATAAACCTTTGTTATTTCATTTACTTCAATTATTTTTCATGAGAGTTCACTGCTTCGACAGGTAGAAACTCTGACAATATAAATTCCTGTTTCATAGCGCAATCATTTGAGATTTGATACGATCGACTCGTTTTTTGTTATTTTTGCGCATCAATTCCAATCGTTATGTATTTCAGCGTTGGCTACCGCGACGCACACACGTTGTTTTTTTTATTACAGTTCACAAATCGAGTAACTATACTCAAATATTGTGATGTAATAATTATTCTTAACTCTTGATGTTCGTAGTAATTTGTATTACTGTATTATGAAGACAAAAACATATCAAATGAAGACGACAACGTTGAGAAACAGTACAAGAAGTGGTAAAGTTGCTCTAGAGAAGTAATACTATATTACTATGTAATTACTATAATTACTACTACTGGCTTATCGGTCGATTTTGCATCTGCTGTTGTTGATGTTGCATTTGCTGTGATGGTGTCGGTAGTACAGGTGACGGTTTGCCCGTCTCATTTACCGTGACCAGTCTTGTTTCCATCGGGTAATTCCAATTATTCATCATTCTTGTTTGCTCGATTGTCGGGCATATCTATAAAAATAAAAAATGAAAAAATAAAAATTAGTTTGTATAACTCTACCCACTTGCATATTTATTTATTCATCATAAACAGACACATGAAATTCACCGATGAAAACAATTATGTTCGGTCGCTTTATGTATACAAAATAACAATTGAATGCTGGGAAGCTTATGAAAAAAGGAAGAGAAACCCTTGGATTCTATCAGATATAAGAATTACAAATAGCATTGAATACAAAGGTAATTATTCTGTCAGGATTTTTTCCCTATTTCTTAAGTTTACAACAAAACTGCGCACGTGTATACACAGAGCAAACGATTGTCATCGCCATCGATGTCTTCCAGGATAAATGCTAAAAAACTACATGAGAAAAAGAAAGTAATTCATAAAGTAACCCAATCTGTTGTACCTAAAGACGTTTTCTCACTCTCAATATATGAAAAAAATCCTCATAGGATCGATACAAACAATTTCATCGTTCAAATATATACTTTAATAGCGTTAAACGTACAAGCGCATATTACAACTGTTACCCGAATTCTCGTTTTTTTTTTAATTTCAATAAAATGAAAAAAAGTAAGGTAAAATACATATCCGTCATCGGCTTTTAACATGTACAGCGCGGTTTTCCTTCTGGGTTAAATGGGCTTCCGCTTAGTGCAGGCGCGGCCTTTGCTGCTGTTGCATCGTTTTCGTAGAGGGAGAAGAGAAGGAAAAAAGAATTGGAGGAGTACGAGAGAAAGAGAGAGAGAGAGAGAGAGGGAGAGAGAAAGAAAGAGAGGAAAGGATAAAAAATGAAGAAGACGAGTTCTGTGGAATCGACTTACCGAGCTATTAGGATTCTTGGCCATGAATATCATGAGGGAGCGACTGCGACTGCAAAACGGCCTCAACTCTGGATCTCTGCTTATACCATCCACTGAATCGACCCCACCAGTACTGTTGTTGTAAAAGACAATGAAACAGAAGAGAAAAAAATTATACTCTGTATTATATGCTACGTGTTTAATATTAAATGTATATATAATATGAGTATATATGTGTATGTGTATGATGTTTGATTTTTTTTTTGACGAAGCGTAAAAACAATGAATTTAGTTGACATGTTATATGTAGGTGTGGAAGTCATGGGCAACGAATGATTCACGAACGAATGAATAAACTATTGAGTGCAACTGTAGAGTCGATGAAAATCGAGTGCTGGATGTGCAAAGTGATTTTACTCGAATGCAAGTAGATGCACAGCTTGCGGAAAACCTAGCGATGAGCAAAACTCTTTCTCATAACGATGAGACATTACAAAAAGCATTATATACTATTATATATTTCCTCGGTCAGTCTCGAGGTTTACGGCTTTGCCTTGTCGTTGCAGGCACACGTGCTCCCACAGTACCATTAGATACTTTTAATTTCAATTTCCCATGACCTTCAATCTTGCTGTGTCGTTGCTGCTCTCTCTCTCTCTCTCTTTCTCTCTCTTTCTCTCTGCTGCACATTCGTCATCTTTGTGCCGGTACATATATATTGAATTACGCATCCGCTGCCGTTCTTACAAATTGCTCAATCATGAAAATACCTTTGTTATTGCCTTTGCTTTTTCAGAGTTGCCCGCTGTTTTTTCAATTAGTCCCCCCCGAAAGCTCGTCGGCTAATTAAGCAAAATAGAGATTCCCAAGGAAGAAATCCCATCGAAATCGATTTCGTTCGCGAAAATGAAGAAAAAAAAATACAAGTGCATGAAGAGCATAATCAGGCGAAGACGAGGGTCTGTCATAATATAAAAATATTGTGCGCGACTTCTGTCGAGCGCCATCAGGTCATTCATATCGTCCATCTGTCGTCTTCGACGCTTCTTTTTTGCATTCACTAACTCTCTCTTGTGTACTTATTATGTTATGTGCCACCAATATAATTTCTTCGCGAAAAAACAACTTCACTTCGAAGAAAAAAAAATGTGCTGAACTGTTTGTATGTTTATGTGTATGTGAGCATGAGTGAGTATATATATATATTATATATGTATGCACTTATGCGCAAAAAGACTCACCTCGATTGCAATTCTTTCTGCTTTCGCTTACAATGGATGTAAACAGATATAAAGGTAATGACGGCTAAGAATACTGCTATCGTCACTGCGCCCGCTATACTTGCCGTCTCAAGCATTACTCGTTGCCTTGACGCTGTAAATCGGAAAAAAATAGTTTGTTTTTTATTGGCTCGGAATAAATTAAATCATCGAATGATGATCATATCGATTGATTATAAAATATCTGCGTCATTCGTAACATTTTCTCAAATATACAAGACTTTCCAACGCCGGTGAAACCGTTAGGAAATTAAAATTTTGTTAAGTCATTTTGTTTTTTTTTTCACTTATGAAGATAAAAATAATAATTAAAATAATAAAAATATATAATTCAAACGACTGAAGCTCAAAATGTTATCTTACAAGGAAATGATGCGGCATCGCGGAGTGCATTTGCGAGTAAGACCGAAAAAGATAAAGAAAAAAGGAAAGCAATACTCACGCAGATAGGAGCCATCGAGATCTTTGAATTCACATCTTTGACCAATGTAGCCGTTGGAACATCTGTAAACATAAGATTATATGAGTTGATTGCTGAATTGACTTGCACGTGTCTGATCTCCACAAAATTGAAATACTATCACGCGTAAATTCATCGATCACGAGCACATTTTGCGCAAACATGCACGCACGACGACTTGATGAATCTACTGAGATTTTTCTCTTTTCCAAGGACTCACAGGACGAAGTCACGGTAAAAACGTGTCTAAACAAGCACGAGCACGGATTATGGAAGAAAAAAGCATCAAGCGCTTTAAACGTGTGCATATACCCACGCACGATTCGACGTATATTAAAGATACAATAAGCGCAAAGGAGAAAGAGCAAAACTGCCTTTCTCTCTCTCTCTCTCTCTCTCTTTCTCGACGGCAGCTACATGCGCTAATTGTCTGTACAGTGACCTCTTGCACACTCAGACCTAACGTACCCGCAGCTATATTTGTGTGTGAGTGTGCGTTTGATGCGCTCTCGGTCTTTGCGACAAAGCCCTTTTGCACGCGTGGGAAAAGCGGAGCAAGAGATAGACAGAGAAAGAGAGAGAAAGAAAGTTATGTCACGTTGTTTTCTGCGCTCCTTTTTTCCTTAGTTTCTGTTTTTTTTCATGCGTTACTTTAAAACTCACTACGGATGCATTATCACGATCATTGTCACTGCTTCTCGGTACTATTTTTCTTGTGCGGTCTTCCCTACATGTATGCATGTATAAAATCGATTACCGGCAAAGAGGAAGCTCCGTTTTTTTCATTTGTTTTATTTTATTTTATTTTTTGTCAAGGTGCAATACTGGCGACGACGATGACTTGGTCATGAAATCCGTCAATGTTTGACACCATTTACGGAATTCTTCATTACCGATAAAAAATCATGGGAACTCGGCTAATGATATTAAATCGAATTGTCGCAATATGTTTGTTGCATATATCAGATGTATGTGCATTTATTTAAAACTTTTTCCGTACAATTGCTGATACAGGGTAGTCGGGCCAATCAATGACCGGATACCATTTAATGAACATTTTGGAAAAAATAATACGAAAAACAATTAAAAATATATTTATGTGGACGTTTTTTCATTGCAACTTGTTTTCCACGTCCAACCATCGTGTAACAAGGAAAAATAATAATTAATGCACATCCAAAAGTGGTCATTTATTGGTCGAAAGCGGCCAATCACTGGTCCAAGTACACTCATAAAAAAAATGATTTATTTCGTTGATACTCACAAGCAATTGTAAAGCAGCGAATCGACGATTTTAACGGTAAAACAGGTAGCTCCATTGAGACAGTACCACTCGGCGTAATCGGGCGGACATGTGTACATATGGAATGTGATGTTGGGCCTCGGCGTAGGCGGCGGTGGTCTCGGCTTCGGCGTCGATCTCGACGAACAGGCATCTGTAAAACGTTGGTCGTTCATTTCATCAATCGGTAATGTTTATCGCATAATCTCGTGTCAGCTGGCGTAGTCGCGAATGCAGCGCGCGGCATAAGGGGCAAGGAACAAGACAATCCCCTCTCGTATACGCGCTGGCTGGCAGCCACAAAGGACGCGAGGCACAATGACGATTCGTGACCAAGACCAGAAGATTTGGCATTTGTCATGCGCGGTGTCACGTACGCGCCCCTGCCTATCAGCTATTGTATTATGCGGGCTACCACTTTCCGGGAGATTTGTATACGCGTATATTTAATATACCGAGAGATTCCAATCGGCCAGCGAGTAAAAGTAATCCGAGCTGAAAATTTTGCGCGGCAAAGGGATGAAGTGCAAGAATCGACGAACCGTGGCTGGCTCCCGAGGCGCGTCAAACGTCTGCTTCTCTTATGAATATACATCTGCACGCGCGCACACATACGCACGTATCTCGTGGTAGCCCTTGAGCCGAGCGACTTATCTATTCGACGATACCGCGATATTTTTAATTCCGTATCGCAACAACCTGTCTACAATAACATAGCATCTGTCACTTACGGCTCATCGCCTTCATCGTCGCACTTGGCCGCGTCAATTAACGAAAATATCAGCGGCTCCCTCGATCTCAACTTTGTTCGCGTGTGTGTATACACGTGACGAGCGTTTTAAAATAGAGTAACTCGATACAATATCAATAGAAAACGAAGAAACCCTTGAAGACGTCTTCATCGGGCTACAAATTGTCTAATTGAATACGGAAATTTACGTTAGTCGCGGATATTTTCATGAACGATGGGTTGTGTGCCCGACGCGCGTCGACGTCAATCCAAACTACTTCCCTCTCGCGCTCCCTTCCAATTTTCAATGCGAGCCACGAGAAGAAGGGCGACGAAGAAACGAAAAACGAAGGCAAAAAGAGAAGAAAAAAAAATGAAACTATGGCATTTCTCCGGATGCTTGCACTCGATCTCTAATTCACGTATGGCATTATGAATATGCATAAATTACGCCGCGTAGGTCTAATCGGGCTCCGTCGAGTCTTTTCGAGTAGCGGCACGCGTCGTCAGCTGCTCCATGAGTAATGAGCGCTGCACAGATTTTTCATGCATCAAAAGTACTCGGCCTCTTTCTCGATTCTAAATGAATTTGTTAAATGAGTTCCGGTGCGTAAGTTGACGTTAACGAAATTAGTCAAAGTTGAGAGACGCGTGCCGCGACACGAGTACAAATTATTACGTCGCTGCATAGAAGCGTAAGCGAGAATTAGTAAAAGTGCGCGAGTTCGGTTAGTTTAGGATGGTCAGGTCGCGCTCGGCACGACACAGAGCCGGGGGTACATGGGTATATAAGACGATCGTGTGAGAAATAAAGAGACAAAAAAAGACTATAACTCACCCGCAGCGCCAAACAGTCCATAGGATATGAGTAAGAAGGTGGCCAAGTAGCTGAGACTGCCAAAGGCTGCACCTCCAGCACTGTGACTATTATAACTATATTTATAACTACAAGTTTTTCGGCTGCTGGTGCGGCACGTACTATTAGCGGAACTCGTACTGGTGCTAGTGAGGGCTAAGGCGGGCGGCCTTCGCCTCGTCACTTGCCTTTTGCAAAATCTCCTCTCGGGGCTCGTGCTGTTGGCGTTTGTCGTCGGCTCGCATCGATCCTCATCCAATATCCTCAGTCTCGTTCTGTTATTACTGTGTTTATTACTATTACTACTAATTGGGCTGTAGCTGGCATCGGAGCAGCCACGAGGGTGAAAGCTCGAGGTAGCCGCTGCCTCGTGCTCTTGCTCGCTGAGTCCTAGAATCCGACACGAGCAGTGGGATTTGGCTCGGCATCTCGTGCAACACGTCCTCGTCGGCTCCTCTTGCTCGAGGCCTGCCTCCGCTGGCGATCCTCTCGGCTGCTCCTGACGATGATAATGCCGTTTTTGCGGCTGCTGTAGCTGCTGCTGCTGCTGCTGCTGCTGTTGGTGCTCCTCCATGGCCTCAGTAGTGGTAGCAGCTGCTGGAGCTGCTGCTGTTGCCTCTGCGACAGCACCACCGACGCCGGCAGCACCTGGTTATAACTGTCGCCTTGGTCGTCGTCGGCCTGTAACACGATACGAAAGAGTCTGGGTTTAGAGATGAAGTGAATCCGTCAAGAAGGGATCTGCACGCGCGAGCCAGCCAGCAGCGCTCGGAAATGATGCAGGTGATGCACGCGACATGGCACACGCCGAGCTGCTTTGACGTACAGCGCTCGCACACATATACACATACGCGCGGACACGCACACACGCACACATCAGTGTACCTATAGAGACTTGATCTAATACTGTGGCCAAGCACATGTGTACATAATATATATATACCTATACATGAGTCTCAAAGCTCGGCATGCACTATTGAATGAAAGATCGCTAGTGCGCGCGTGTGTACGCGCCTGTATATAATAGCATGTAAGAGGAGCTGGGAGAGCGGAGGCAGCAGATCGGGAGCAATATGTAACGCGATATATCGTATCTGAACGATATTTTTCGGATGAGCCTCTGACTCACCGTTTCACTGTCGCGCTCCACGGAATAATGATACACGAAGCTTTTCTAGTAATGACCTCTCGGACTCTTCTCTCTTTTCATTTTGTCATTGGCTCGGGTCGGCTTTTCGAGCCCACTTTTCGACCACTGACGCGCATGACTCTATAACATTACTCGCACACACATACGTAACAGTGGGGGAATTCTTTCGTGCTTGCACACTCGCACATATAGTAACGTAGTTTGTAGAACACATGCGCGCAATCGCAAAAATAATTGGACGTTTCCCGCTTAAGTCAAAGTCGAGCGAGCAAAAGAGATGGAGAGCTAAAGGTAATTTGGAAGACGCCGCTGCGACGGCGCCGATCTAGATTGAGTTGGTTTTCATGTATTATATTATTGTACTTGCGCTGCAGTTGCATACGTATATACATAGCTAGCAACGACGCATGGGTTTTTCTTCGCGCAAAACTGCATAACATCATCATCATCATCATCGTCGTCATCATCATCATCATCATCATCATCATCATCATCATCATCGCTGTCGTCGGACTCGTCGTCTTTGTAATGAATGATAATATACTCATAACAGAGAGAATTGCAATGATTAGACGTTATTAGGGAGCTCGCAAACAGTCGCGATTTGAGATTAGATACAAAAAATATTGAAATATGAAAAGGATAGGCTACTCATACTTGGTTAGCCGCGACAGTGAACTGTAAACTCTCGAGTAATGTTGTTCCTAATCAAGGAAAAAGTGACACGTCGTAAAAAAAAAGTCTATATATTATACACGCGTAAAGTCCAAGGTTCTCGCTAACCATAAACATCATCAATTATATTACATTTGGAAAATCGAGCCGCAGCTCCGGTTGCGGAGGGCGATATCTGGCGGCTCTTGGAATTTTCGGTGCACAAAGCCAAGCTAGGTAGCGGGCACGTGCACATCTAGCCACGCGCCGCGCGCGCCTTTAATGCAACGCGAGAAAGAAAGAGAGAGAACGAGAGCGAGAATGGCACAGCTGCTTTTTTATCCATCTCTCTCTCTCTCTCTCTCTCGATGTAGCTTCTAAACACGGGAAATTCTTGCAGCACGCGCCTACGCAGCTGAAAAGACGCGCGCGAGTGTGCGCCCCCGAAAAAAGGGCCGGATGCAGCCGCCAGCGGCACGTACTTGCTTTTTTGATACGTGCACGAGGCCCTGAAAGGGAAGCGAGAGGCCACAAACGAAACGTGTACGTACAGGTATGCGGAGCGCGAGTAACGGAGAGAGAGAGAGAGAGAGAGAAAGAGATCCAGCTGCAACCGTTTCTGATTTTCGTGTCGTTTGTAAATGTTTTTTTTTTCATTCGGTTCGCGCGGCAACGACGACTCGATGCCTCGACCAAAGTACTCGAAAATTATTGCTGCCGTTGAATAAGTAAGACGCGATAATTACTTCGTAAACGCGTATAACTGTCATCGAGCGATCGGCTACTAGCATCGAAAGCGGATATCGGAAGGGCTCGGGGGATATACCTTGTAAATATGCATAAGAGGGACAAAGTGAACAGCTCATCAGCGTTTCCGTGAATAGGTGTAAAAAAAGTCCGCACCGCTGGCGTTTTTAACGAGAATTACAAAAAAAGAAGGAGCAAGTTTAAAGAGAGAGAGAGACAGAGAGAAAAGGGCTGCATATACGCGTTAGTAAGCTGATAGCCGTGAAATTGCAACCCTTATAAAATTGCCAGGCGAACGTGTTGGGTCCGTCCGAGCGATAATACGATGATCAATGAAGCATTTATAACACACGCATGCACGCTAGCACGGTCGTACCTCGCGTAGCGGGGCTTTCGGCTTCTTTATATTTCGTTGCGGGCCGCGCGGGGGCGTAACATCATTATCCTAATCGTTGCGCACTCGGCGCGCATATGCAGGCTCGTCGATCGCGTTACGACTGCTGCTTACTCTATCGCCTGCACCGTGAACATCGCTTGTATGGCTTTTATTCGCGCCGACTCGTCGTCCGTGCTATTTATTTATGCAGCCAGAAGAGCAGCTCGAGGGACAAGGAGAGAGAGAGAGAGACAGACATCGCTCGAAAGATGAAGAAAATCGATCGAGTTGTAGGAGCGCATCCAAGTATTCGGCAAGCCGCAACGAGCTATGCGTTATATACGCTATGCAGAGGGGGGTCTTCTCCGAGGAGGTGACTTTTTACTTTTTCAACGAGTAACGCAAATGCGAACGGTCGTTGTTGCGAGGCATTCGATGCGCCTTACCCATGCTGTGTAACAAACTCAAGTGGAATAAAGCACCCTTAAATACGATCAGGAGCAGAGAGAAGAGGAGAAGGAGAAAGAAGAAGACGAAGGAGCGAAGCGATACGAACGGGATCACACATGTCGCAGAAGCCCGAGCTACCGCAGCTGCCAATTCTTCTTTATTATTTTCTTTTTCTTTCCTTTTTTGCGCTCGTGGGCAGCTGTGTCCGTGTGGCGGCAAGCTCAAGCTCCATCTATGACTGCGTACGTATCTGCCGCCTACAATAGCGAGCAATGCGCCACGTATCTCGGGGCCTTCTTATCGTCCGTCTCTTATCGTCGCACGGCTCGTCCTAGCTATACGAATTATCTCTCTCGCATAGGTGACACACGACACGCGTACGAGCTCGATAACGCCAGCCTCGGAGTATAAAAATGTAAGAAACGAGGCTCTTTCGATGCAACTAGCTCGGCCCGACCTGACCGTGTCGCGCGTCCACTTGTAAGGTCGTAACTACGAGTCTGCGTCATCGGCGAACAGGGGCATTTTCTCGTTGCAAAAATTACTCGAATGAAATGGCCCGTTGGTTTTGCCTCGTGCGCACGCCAAGCCGCAGTCATTAATAAGGTGTACGACTCGAAGCCAACTCGTATATTACTCGCGTATAACTTTGTTACAAGTTGCTGCTACTGCTGCATTACAAGTGCATTAGAATAGCTACTTTCGTCCATCCTCGGGCGCGTTTGCCTTTAATTTCGATCGATCGAGCAAAGAACGAAGCGAGTGTATAGCGAGTATTATTACAATGAGCGCGCGTGGCCACGCGAACGCGAAGAAGCAAAAGAAAAAAAGGTCTAGCCGCAAAAGTGTATACGAGTCTTCGGGGCGCGTGGCCACGATGCGCACCGAAAAAATGAAGAAGGAGGAAAAAGGCATGATCTATGCACACACAGGCAGCACGCGAAATGCATTACGCATTCATGCAGACGCGGCGGCCATGCATTTACACGGGCCAATATCATGCATGCACGCCGAACGTCTGTCAAGAGGCAGCGACGAGGCCAACTTCATCCCGTGGCATCTGTCTCGCGGCGCGCTCAAAATTCGAGCCCTGTGTAGGTAATGCGCTATGCGAGCGAATAAAAACACACACACGCTCGCGCACAAAAGGCAAAAAGGAACAAGAGGAAGAAAAGCACGTTTTTTTTTTGGCGAGCGAGCGGGGATAATTAGGCGCGTGGCAAGCATCATCTTAAATAGCTATAACAATAATATCAAGAATATATAATATGCTCGTATAGCTCGCTTACTCGTATATACACACATATATGCGTACGCATCGAGCCGGTGCAGCAGCAGCAGCAGCAGCAGCTTTTTCAAGTCCAACGAACCCGATACTTTTTATAAAACCATATGTGCAGCTACTGCCCACATGTAGCCTTACACACATCCAAGCACACACACACACACACACGCATTCTCTCTCACATGCTCACTCACACGTTAACTTGCGCGCGTGCATTTCGTGATCGTGGGCAGGATCGCACGCGCGCGCGCGATATATCGTCCACTTTGGCACGAGCCAAGTATTGAAAGTATCGATCGGCGCTGGCGACGAATGTCAACTTCCGAAAGTTTAATCAAGCGTATAATAGGAAGAAGCACTACGGCGCGACGCCACGTACAAGATCCACCGATCTACCTCCGACACATCCTGAATTACCTATGAACTACTACTCGGATGTCGTGGGCCTATACCTGTACAGTAGGGCCAGCCTGCCTATACGTAAGACAAGCCTCGCGCACTCATCCCACCCAAAAAATCAAATTGCACCAGCAATTAATGCGCCAGAACGCTTAAACGAACTGACGGCGTTGTGCGCTCGCTTCTAGAATCTTTAGGCTACGCTGTATTACGAGCTAAAAATACAAATTTCTCATCGCGATGATCTCACTTTTTTTCCTATATGAATAATGATCGATCGAAATTGAATTTTCCAATGGCAAATAAAGCGCGTTAAGCGCATTTCAGGCGATTGTCCAGCATGAATGATCACACGAGTGCTTTGAGCGCAACGTTTATTTATTACGAATAATAATCTAAAGCTCCTTTGGGTCACTTGATAAAAGGAACAATATCTATGCGGTAAGATTACTCGGACATGTGCGACGGCTGTTTGTGTACATAGTGAGATAACAATAGCTGCTATTAATTATTTTTGGTAGATAATTTTAAAATACTCTTCCTAAAAAGCTTCATCTCAACTTGATCTGTGTAAATAAAATGACTCGGCCAATTCGGACTTAATGCTTGCAATACACCTG